CTACCTACCCTTTCAAAGATTGAAAGGTTTGAGGATAATTTCTATGTAACAAAAAACAACAAAAATGCTACAACGCCATCTCTCGATAGACATAAATCATTTGAAATTAAAACCGTTACGTTTTGTATTTGTTTCTATTCCAAACGCAAATATTGGACGTTTTGATCAATACCTATCGCGACCACGGTTAGCCATAAACTATAGAATGGTTTAAATTTAGAATTTCACCGTTCTCTTTAAACACCAATAGACGGAATAGGCTATTTGACAGGTTTTTAAAATCCATTTTATATTATGTAGTAGAGTCTATGGAACCCAGTAAAAGCCCGCCACAACCTCCCAAAACCGCTGCAACTCCTGTAAGCCAGGATCTATAGTAGATACAACCATGAAAACACCGGAACACTGAAGTCCGGCGTGTCCTAGGGACATGAGTAACTGTCTTGGTTCCCGCAACGGAGTGAATCAGAAGATATTATAAGAGGAGAAGAAGAAAAGGCAGGGAGTGTCAGACTCTTACTGATTAAAAATCACCCCGTTCCTATTACTGCACTTCGAGCCGGAGCCCCGGTGACCCGTTAGGTTACCCACTAGGTTTGAATATTAACGGCGTTTGCCGCACCAACGCATGCAGCGGTACTTAGAAGATGTGATGGCGCAAGGGTATCTTGGGTTTCGGTTTAAAGAAATTTATTTCTCATAAGAACATACAGTCCACTTATAATGAGATACAAAGTAATAAACAAATATAGTAGGTACAATACAAATTTCCTCCAAAGTATTAGCAGTTATAATGTACTTAAATGTTTCTTTAGCTTATATTTAAATGTGCTCACGTTATCGCACTCTTTGATATCGTCGGGTAATGCATTGAACAGATGTACTCCTTCATATAATATAGTCTTTCTACCGTAATTCGTGCGTACGCTAATGGCTTGCAGTTTGTTTTTATATCTATTTCTCAAGTTATGTGACATTGTTTTTTTCTTTAGTTGTATCTTCATTCGTTGTATGCCGCACCAAAGGCCTACCTATCTTCCAAAGCAGCAACGACCAACGACATACCATCTGGTCTCTTGCCGTCATCACGTACCAAATCGTTTTGTTATTATATTTTGAAAATTTCTTATGAAAAGGTACAATTGTGTAGTTTCCAGGAATTGAAAATTAAAAATCTAATACCTAATTAGTCCGTCAGATAATGGAAAAATATAAGACACGTATTTTTTTATTTACTCGTATAAAGTTACAATACTTAGATAAAATGGAGTTAAGTTTAGGAGTGGGAGGTCGTTACGTCATAACGTGCTACAAAATGTGGCACGCTGTGACGTCACAAGATATTTCAAATTAATATATCGTCGAAATTATTTAGTTTTGATAGAAGAAAAATAAAGGGGGCTAATGTTTTAAATTAATCTACCAGACGGACATTAAAACAAATTTAGGAAACTACCCTATTCTATTTTGCGAAGCTTCAAAAGTGTTCCAGTGCAGGTTTCAGGTTCATTTTTTCATTCAAAGATTCATTTTTAGGTTGAAATTTCCAGAATAGAAGCGAGCAATCAATAACATGTGATGCGTTGATTATTGTAGTGTTAGGTAGCTCCCATTGAGCGTTGGTTTGTAGTGTTAGCTCCCTATGTTTATGTTGCGTGCCGCTTGAGCCGCGCTGCCGCGACGGTACCCACTCCATATTCCAAAATGACTTAAATTTTTAACGTATTCATGATGACGAAAAAGATCGTAATGCGATGAAAGTGTAACACTAATCAATAAACAAATTAATGACTACTTTTGGAAGAAAAGTTTATGTTTTTAAAATAAAATTAATTTAGAAAAAAAAATATTTTTATTTAAAATGGTCTGTACCTACTGCAGAACGGCAATTTCATAGGTAAGTATAACAAAATGCAAATTTTGACGATTTCCAGAATAACTAAGCTCATCTGACTGCCTGACAGGCCTAGAAGTAGGAGTCTCCAGGTCGATGCCGAGTCAGTCGAAGTAGTCGAACTATTATAAGTATAAAAATGTACCTATAGTACCTCTTATAAATACCCACTGCTGAGCAAAGCCTCTTCTCACACGGAGAAGGTTCAAGCACTAATCACCACGCTTGCTCAATATGGTTTGGTGATTTTCAAACTTAATTAGAAATTATAAGCCCAGGTTTCCTCACGATGTTTTCCTTCACCGTTTGTCAGTGGTGTCTTCAATCTTAGTAAGTACATATAACACGGAAAAAGCCACATTGGTACTTGCCATTGGTAGGTTTCGAGCCCGCACCCTCATGCATGAGAAGCGGGCGTCTTAAACCTCCGGGCTACCACGACCACAAATGAATAAGGTAGATAAAATAATAAACGACAGTTGTTTTATTAAAATTTGTAATGTAACATTGCCTTCTCCATTTTCCACAGCAGCTCCTTGTATTCCCAAGTATTGAAGGCAGATTATGATATTAAATTGTTTCATGAGAGAAGAGGTGCGGGGCGCGGGAGGAGGGGCGCGTGGTACACTGGGCCGGACTTGGGATAGATATTTAAATATTTGTAGGGTTCGTATTACGAGTAGCAATTCGCAGAATTGTGTTTTATGTAATGGCGTGACGCCAACGGCAGTTAGCCGTTGGCCTCTAACCAAGTAGGACATTGTATTAAACTTTTATCAATATATTCCATATTCACTGTTAATGTTGCATCATTTATCTCCATCACCTGTAGGTACCAAGGCTAACTCACATATTATTAAAATATTCTAACATAACATCTTGCCTTTTATAGTGCCGTTAACAGAGGTATAGTTTTTTTTTTTTGAATAGGAGGTAAACGAACAGACAGATCACCTGATGGTAAGCGATCAGCGCCGCCCATGGACACCCATTACATTACATTATTATTACGTCACGCACGTCCCCCGAAGGGGTAGGCAGAGGTGCACATTACGGCACTTAATGCCACTATACAATGTATCACCTACTTTTCACTATTTATGTTATGAATCCAATGTAACAGGGGGTGAGCCTATTGCCATATACCGGTCACATTTCCAGATTCCGTGCTACTACTGAGATTTTTTTTAAACTCAGTAGTACTTTGCCCGACCCGGGAATCGAACTCGCGACCTATTGCCAGGCAGTCACACTTGCGACTACTAACTAGCTACTAGCTATCGAGGCAGTCTATGCTATGAAATCGGTTAATGAATATACTAAAACTTTCTCCTACATAAGTGTAACAAACGCTTTTCTGAGAACCACATCAAATAGGTTCAGCCAATAGCGAGATATTTGCGCACAAACACACATATAGACTTATAGATTAAACTGTATTTTCTTTTGTTTTTGAAGTCGATTGAAAAACATATTCTACTTTACTGTCATCACGTACCAACTAAAGCGTGATTCAAATGATTTAAAATGTTATGTAAGGCGGAGACAAAGCACAACAGTCTGTAATTCCAATGTACAATTGGGTTGTCGCGGAGAACCTAACGGGTAACCGGGGCTCCGGCTCGACGTGCAGGAGAAGGAACGGGGTGGTTTTTAGTCAGTAAGAGTCTGACACTCCCTCCCGCCTCACCCAGGCGGGAGAAAGAAAGAAAGAAAGAAAAGAAAGAAAGAAAGACTTTATTTCACACGCTAAAAAAAACAGGTGACACGTACAGATTTTACACATAAGTTTATATACATCTACTAATGTCCCCAGTCTGCGGTGAAATGGGACCAGTTCAGAATGTGCAAGACAGGGCCTTGCGCTGGTATTCTACTGGCCCCTTAAGTGACTCGCGGACGAACAAGCCACCAATCAGACAACGATAAACATAAAACAATTTGCCCCAAAAACACAAAATAAAATGCACACGGAGGAGTCATTCGATGAATTCCCCCCTTAAAAAATGTACAATTGGGTAGTTTCCTGATCCAATTAAATATTGAAAAATAGTTACACTTTCATTCATTGATTTGTCAATATACTTAATTTTCGATTTATTCTAGCATTCTTCTTTTTAGATATAAGACGCTGACGACGCAGATGTTCTATTTGACGCGAAAATATGATGACGTCATTAGATGGTATTTCGTACAAAATTCGTTCATAGAACAGCATCGTTTTTAACGTTTCTATAAAATATTGAATTTGACTAGTTGTCTACTATTGTATTTACAAAACTCAGTGTTATTTGTAAAAAAATCTGAAACTGAAAATCCCTGTATCCCAAACATGATCTTTTCTTTGACAGTCGCACTTACGTCCACTGCACAACGAAATCTACTAATCGGGTACTTGCCAACTAGTCAAATTCAATACGTTTATCGAACTGTCAAAAACGACAGTTTTCTATGAATTTTGTACGAGATTGTGTATTGTGACGTCACGTTTTTTTAGCGTCAAACAGAATACTTATTTCTTAAAAAATTGCTGGAAAAATACTAAAATTAAGTTGGTCATAAAATCGATTAATGAAAGTGTGATTATTTTTTAATATTTTCTTGTATTGAACAGTCGAAACAATTTATTTTTGATTAAGGAAAGTACCTAATTAAAACGCGCCACAAGCTCTCAAACCCGTCCCTGCCACAATCAAAGGCTTTCACCGACCGCAAATCACTGCTAAACCACACCCCTCCAATCTGGAGCCCGCCCCTTTCACGCATGCGCGAATTAAGCCAATCACAGCTTCGTAAACTCACCCCCTACCCCCAACAATCCCCCCACCTCGATTGACCGCTCACGGTGTCATTTTTTGCGCTCCAAACCGATCACAAGTAACCACGCCCTGGGAAAATTTAAAATTGTGCCCCTTTTCAAATCGAAAACCACAAGTCAATATCGCCGCGTTACTCGACCTGAACAGTCGTCTAAAATTAACTGTCTAATTAACCATTATACTAATAAATTAACCTTACAAATGAACCTTTAGTTTAGTTTTAGTGAAATGTGTGTGTACAGTGAAAAATGTTATTTAAATATTTCAATGTGAAATAAAAAATTACAATGATGGAACGGCAGAATTCGAATCTGTATCCTTCGAATCTAACAGACCTTTTAGCTGTGTCGGCGTACCAGCAAAATGTGGACCGATTATCGGCGATATCCGACGGCGACGACAAATACAACGGCGATTATACCGATAATGTGGACCGATTTACCGAAAACGTCGATCGATCATCATCGCCAGTGTCAACTTTGGACGACGGAGACAGTAGCCAATCGGCTTTCGGAGTCGATTTGACAGGCAAAGGGACGAATTTAGCAGGAAAATCGTTTACAATCGCTGCGATACTCGGTTTAACGAATTCTGAAGAGGACGTCATGAATCTGAGCGTGCAGGAGAGGTTGCAGCAGAATCAGAGACAGCTGCAAAACTATTTGTATGCTGGACATGATGTCCAGAGAATTAACGAGGGTTTCTGCAGAAGTATAGTTGGAGTGCCGACGGGGATGAGGCAAGGTAGGTTCAGACCAACAGATAGCTGTCGGTTATATCGTAAATTAATTTATTCACAGTAATTCATTGTCAGTGGTACCACGAAGTCTGAAATTGTGCAGCAGCAATAGGCTCACCCCCTATTACATGGGACTCATATCATAAATAGTGAAAAGTAGGTGTTACATTATACAATGGCATTAAGTGCCGCAATGTGCACCTTTGCCTACCCCTTCAGGGATAAAAGGCGTGATGTAATGTGTCATAGTAATTATTGTAATATAAACATTTGTCTGACTGAGATTAATAATTGACTTTAAAAGGATCCTGACTTTGTGAATCGATCTCGATTATTGACAGAAAGTTCATATAACCCATAAAATTTGTGATTTATGGCGTGCAAAGTCAAAGTGAAACGTCATTTGAAACGTCAACAAATACAAAATAAATAATAGTCTGTCAGTCAGTCCGTCAGTGAAGCTAGGTGAAGCTAGGTGCTCATTCCAAAATGTAGATTCGAATGGAGAAGAACGAGCAAGAAACTCCATTCGTTACTCTTTTTAAAAAAGTATGTTCTACATTGATTGA